TATAGAACATTGGCAAAATTATTTACTGTTTAAAACAATAACATATTTCCACCATTATATCACCATTGAAATATCCCAAAGAACAGAAAAAGGTGATGAAGAAGGTATTAAAAACTACAGAACAATTAATGATTTTAATTCTGCACAAACCTGCCAAAACTAAGTGAAAACATTGGACCTTGTCCAACTAAGAGAATGAGCTCATTTCTGGAATGGATTTATCATTATAGATCATATACAAAAGATTCAGCATATTATTGAATATTGCACTGAATACCAATTGTCACTTTGACTGGCCTTCATTGACTTTCAAAAAGCTTTGACTCTGCTAAATTGAATACTATAACTGAAGTTCTAAAGTTTAAGTGTGAAAGAATCCTAGATCAGTCTCCTGGAATCAACATACAGAAATGCTACAGCTACTACACACATAAATGAAAAGATTGTCACCATTAATAAATAAATTCAACATGATCATTAAATTTATCAAAAATATTATCAGCTAGTTTGCAGAGATATTCAAAAAGCTGAACTGGTCCAAAGCAGTAATAAATAACCAATTATGTTTGTCTAACAATATTGTTCTTTACTCCAACAATTTGGAAACTTTCAAAGATGAATAATCTTCAAGGATATAGAAAAATGACAATGACAAGTTTTCAGGCTTGAAAATGAACTTAAAGAAGAAACAAGTCATGTTTATAACTACACCCAATCTTTGACAAACAAAATCATACCAGAAAAAGTAAACAGCTACTCTACACCTAACCCGCATTAAAAGATTATCATGGAGACTAATAACATTCTGAATGTAATTTACAAATTATTAATTAAGTAAAAAATAAGAGTAATTGGGATTTCCTAGTGAATTAATTTTAATGCAATGCCAAACAAAAAACAAAAGTAATAAAAACAATAAAAGTAAATTAATAAAAAGTTATACTAAATATAACATCATCACAGTCTTTTTCTTCTAGCCACCATCTGTGTAGTCAGATTATACTCTAATCGTTTACATGGTAAATATGTATGTTATGAATGAACAATGTGGTGGCCTAGTGGTGAAAACGCTTGCCTCCCACTCAGAAGGTTAAGAGTTCAATCCTAGATAGTGGCAGATGTTTCTCTCCTAGGGCGCAAAGAAAGAAATATCTGCTGTGAACTCCATGTGGCGTCAGGAAGGACATCTGGCCAGTAAATACTCAGCTCCATCCAATTGCTCTGACTCTACCCTGAATTAAGGCATTACAGGATTGTAAAAAGGAAAATTTATATATGTTATGAATTACCTGTGAAACAAACAAAACAACCTCAAAATCACCTTATAGTAAAATTGAAATTGCTCTGTCTTCGGAAATTGAAAGATGAAGATTTCAGACAACATTGAATCCCCATCTAAATGAAGTTGAAATAAAACTGTTTGAGGGAATTGGAGTGTGATATAACAAATACCCTGAGGAAAGCATCTAAATCTAAAATAAATGCTCATATGAAGCCTTTTCATAAACATTAACATTTATAATAACTCCATTACCAATTTAGCACCGAAGTCAAAGATTAATTCAACTCTACAATAGCTATAGAAACAATTCTTCCAGGGTATACCAAGTACATCCCCAGATTATTAAAAAAAACTCAACACTGATAATTGAGTAAAAAATGAAAGTGAAAAAAAATGGATTGTTCCTTCAAAAAAACAAAGATAATGACAATTGCAGAGAAAACACAGGTCAGGGTGCAGTTGACAATGAAACCATTGAAACATTAAAGGAATTCAACTTCCTTGGTTCTAAAATTGATTAACACTGAGATCAGAAGGCACACAACACTTGGAAGAACTGTAATGTCTGGCATGAATAACATCTGAAGAGTAAAGATATCAGCCTACCTACCAAATGCAGATTAGTCAACAATAATCCAATTGCTACTTATGGCTGTGAAACTTAGAGTCTGAAAAGGCAGACTAGAGAAGGTGCTGGATACAACTATTATGAATCTCATGTACTGCAAAAGTCACAAACAAAGAAGTCCTAGACTAAGCCTCACCCAAAATATCACTCAAAGCCTATATTGTCAAGCAAAGTCTGTCATGCTTTGGCCATGTCATGTGAGCCAAGCCATTCAAAAAGTCAATCATGTTGGGAGTGATCAGCAGAAAAAGGAGAGAGGGACATCCTAGTACCTGTTGGGTTGACACTATAAAGAATGACACAGGGATGACCATAGAAGATCTGAAGGAGGCCGTATGAGATAGAGGGCATGGAAAGTGCTGATTGATAGAGTGGCCAAGGGCCAGACACAATTGAATGGTAGCAATGAAATATTGATCAAATGTTGAATGATCCACCTTCCTATGTACACACACATAACACACTATTACCTTTGCATTCTTCCCAAAGATTTATTAACACAAATAATTTTGCATTACCTATTAATGCATAACTTAGCAAATAGTTGGAAATGTCTAGCTGTTTAATAATATTACTGTGAAAACAATGATTGCATGTTGACCATCGAATGTAGAGAGATAGGGCAAATTGTTTTTATTTAAAAGGGCTGGGCAAAACTGCAGCTCCTTGTGCATGTTTTCCTTTTAAAGTTCATGATAAATAAAATCTTCACATAATGCTTTTCCAGATCTCATTTTGTAAAGGTGATCTTTAATTTCTGCTTTAGGTACAGGAGATCTTGTCATCAAAGCTTATTGTAAAATTAGTTTGGAAACCATTTTTAACAGGACTCTGCTGAATTTTGACCTGCCAGCTATAGTCCTTTAATTAAAAAAAAAACTATTTGCCAAAGTCCTATAAGATTATTTCATTCAGTGGATTGCAATAATAATAAAATATTATTCCATTTTTTAAAAGAGTTTTATAATGTTTGTTGATGCTTGGAAGGAATAAAGGCAAGCAGGTGAAGAAGTTTCACAAAATAAATTAACAGTTTCAGTGCAAACTCCACTAAAGCAAGACTTCAATTTATTGCATATTGACTACACTTAGCAGCATAAAGTTTGTGTAAAAGATTTTGATGTGACCTGGAAATGTGCTAGTATTACCTGTTCAGTGAAACACCTGAACATTTATGACAGAGATTCTGACTGGAAATTTGTATAGAAGTATTTATATGATTGTTGGACCATAAGAAAGGCTGAGCGACAAAGAATTGAGGCCTTTGAACTATGGTGCTGGAGAAGACTCCTGCGAGTCCCTTGGACTGCAAGGCGTTCAAACCGGTCAGTCCTAAATGTGATGACCCAGGGCCCCGAACGGAGGCAAAGCAATTGGATGGTCAGAATAATTGTCTTTGTAAGCACTGCCAACGTTCACCCAACAGCCCCCACATATGCTGGCACAAGTTCAATAAAACAATCAACAGAGTTAAACAGTTCTTTAAAGTAAAACAGATAACAAACAAAGTATGATCTTTTCAATGCCCAGCTTGTCTGTAACTGCAAACTGCAAAACTGAAGACAGCAAGGAAAACTCAGCAGGAAACAAACTTGATCCGAAATACAAAGATTCCAGGTACAAGAGCTCACATCACAAGAGTTCACGTTTGTTCCCGGCAAATGCCCCACCCCACAGCATCTCCTTAAATGCCTACTCCCCAGGTGTGCCTTGTGAAGTAGGGCGTGACGCTTTCCTCCCGAGCAAGTGAGCCTGCCTCCATTGTTCCCTCCTCCTCTCTGCTCTCCTTGCTCTGGGATCTGGGGGGGAGGGGCCTTGCTCCTCGCCTGAGCTCTGCCTTCCTTGTTCCAAACTTGAAGGGCCCTGGCCTGCTTCAGCCTGTTCCGCCCCACAGTCCTCCGAAGCCACAGACACCCCCGCCTGGGCCTCAACAGGGAACTCCATGTCGTCCTCAGAGTCAGGCTCGGACGGAGGCATGACACTAGAAGAGATCAACCCCGACTGCTCTTTAGAAGGCCAGATCCTGAAGTTGAAACTCAAATACTTTGGCCACCTAATGAGAAGGAAGGACTCACTGGAGAAGGGTCTAATGCTGGGAAAGATTGGGGGCAACAGAAGAAGGGGAGGACAGAGAATGAGGTGGCTGGATGGAGTCACTGAAGCAGTAGGCGTGAGCTTAAATGGACTCCAGAAGATGGTAGAGGACAGGAAGGCCTGGAGGAACGTTGTCCATGGGGTTGCGCTGGGTAGGACACGACTTCGCAATTAACAACAAATTTATATGATTAAAGAAATGTTGCCTTGTTTAGGTTTCATTGGTTTGTGTCAGTACCATCCACAAAATCCCAAACCTTCTGTTATTTTTGTCAGCCAGTTTTTCATTAGCTAATATGCTTTAGAAATTTATTTCTAATGATAAAAAAATGTTGATGAAATAATTATGGACACAATGTGGTTTTTATATTTACCTATCTAGCTGCTAGATTTTAGTATGAATGCTTTGTATCTCATTATACCATTATTTCTAATCTGCATTCTCTATGGCTCCCCAATTTTTCTAATATATTATAAAATAAGGAAATCCTTTAAAATAAAGTCAAGGAGAAAAATATAATATAAAATCCAAATTAAAAAAAAAACAGATTATGTTAAAGTGACAAAGAAATGAAGAAGAAATATATGCCAATGTGCAGAGTGGTTTCAGAGTGATGAGAGATGTAAATAGAAAAGCAACATCAACAGTAATTTCTCATGTCAATTCCAATAATAAAAATCAAAATGTCAACAAAGAAATGTGAACAAAATTCTCAAATATCCTGAGGGTAAGATATAAAACAGCCATTTTGCAGGGCAGAAAACATTAATAAAACTGTAATTCAAGCATAAAATTAAGTCCTGCACAGAAAATAATTAAAGGAAGAACATTCTCCTTAATCTGAATTATTTTGTTTTCCGCAGCCTGGGAAGGCAGGATTTTCATACTCATATATGAATATTTCACTCATAAAATATTTTATCTAACTGAAATTATATTTACACTTTGAATAAACACTATACTGATTATTATAGCAGTTGCATACATTAATTTACCTTGTCACCTTCAGAAAAAGTTATTCCATCAACAGCTCTTTTCCAAGTAATTTCAGGAATTGGTTCTCCTTCTGCTTCACATATCAGAGTGGCTTGGCCATTTTCAAAGGTGGTTTCATTTTTAAGTTGTATTATTTGAGGCTGTACTGTTAGAAATACAAATTGTATTACTTGTTCTTGATATCAAAGGCTACATACAACACCATGTAATTCTTGATACA